GGAAGTGAATAGGCCTATGACAATCCTAGATATATGTGGACTATCGGTGTGTTTAATTTTGGCTGTATGGTTTAGTATTTAAAAACAGTCGTTTGAAACTTATGTATTTGCATCATTTGATGGACACCAGCCAAAACCTACTGAGAAATAGAGTGGTTAATTTGCTGACTTCAAATCTGAATGTTGTCAGTTCAATTCTGACCGTAATCGACTAAAACGCGAAATATCATTTTGTCACTACGCACATTTTATAATCATAAATTTACGTTAGAAATCAAGATTCAAACTTAATAGAACTTTTTTTGTGTATCAAATGTGAAAAATAGGTAGGTACACGCCAATTTTTACTCGATAGAAAATGTTCTCGTTTAGGTATTTGTATGCCTGTACATGGGCCAAGTTGTGGTTATATTGGCACTAATATCAAAGATAAAACAAGTTACCATGTTCTCCGTCTATTGACAGACTTCTTAATTATTGAGACTTTCCAGTTAAGCGCAATTAATCTATTAAGAAATAATATTAGTTAAGCTATGACTATATGACGTGACTGTATGACTATTTGGATGTGTTGAGATCCAGACACTGCTCCGAAACTCATTTTCGGACCAGTGCCTTTCGAAGCAGTCCACAAGATAAAATAAATGTTTAAATTGTGCTCGCTTACATCACCTCCGCCAAGACTTCCATCACACTGTAGAAGGAAACTCAGGAGACAGATCTGGCAAATTCCCCAGGACATGTTTCAATCGCGTCGCTCTCCATGGATGTCACGTCACTGGGATGGTCTTCCGCGAAACTCTGCCATCTGCCGCTAGAGATGTGGATGTAGAGCAATAACACTATATCTGGTAGAGTATCAACATCGCTCTCATCTGGTCCATCTGTCGTGCGATCGTCCGGGAATCTGTAAATCCCTGTGGGAAACTGTGTGGCTATCAACGTTAACTGTGGAACTAGACGTAGTCATTAAGGTGTAGGTTGAAACATTCACTTTTGGATACATAAATAACCATCCCATTTGAGGATCAGCAGTAGACAACTATAGTTAAAATACATCATAGTCGAAGGAGACCCAGTAGTGTGCAGTTGTCAAAATTATATTTTCTCTTTTGGATTTTTTTGTTCTACGGGATTAAATGCGACATGAAAGATGCTATAGTTGACAATTAATTGTCCTTTAAATGTCGGTTGGTTAAAAAGCTAGAATATTCTAAGGAAATAAATGATTGACTTTAGCGCACTCTGTAGGTGGCCCAGTTCAGCTTCTACCATTTTTCCTAAATTAGTTATGGAATAAATGGACGTATTTGAACTGAGCGACTAACAGAAAGCACTCGCATCAAATACCAATTTTTTACGAATAATGGACAACTTTATATTAGCAACGTTTATCTTATGTCACATTCTACTACCAAAGTACCAATAACTAAGGGGCAAAATAGAGTTGCAAATAATAAACTTTAAAAAATATCATAAACCAAATATTTGCCAAAAAAACTAAACAACTAGGCTATCATAACTACCCCGTACTGCACCTGAAAGAATTCTTGGAAGATCATAACCACAAAAATTAATCTTAAAACCCTTTCTTAAATTGCACATTTACCAATCTCCACGATTCATCTAAGAATCCATAAAATTGCTAGTGACATAAAATTACCCGTCAAAAATGTGTTTACTACAATGTTGCTAGGAGTAGGCGTACTTTTCACAAATGAAATGTGAAAGTTGACAATCTGAACAAGTGGGACGTGAGGCCCGAAACCCGAAAACAGCGCCAAAAGTCGCCCGCTGCGACGTGCCGTCATCAGGACAAGATCTCAGTCTTATGTGCCAAGAGACCCATTATCACATATCATATTTAATTACCCAACCTGGTCCGACTGGTGCCTACTAAGTTGTAATCAAATATCAACTGTCTCCATCAATACATTGACTCTCCTCAGTGGAAAATTGTTATCTCGTTTTGTGTGCGGAATATAAAGACGTGGTTTTGATGAATAGCCTAAGTTTACGAAAAAGGTGTGCAGTTTTGTTTTAGGGTTGAAGACGGCTTTGACCAAAGACACACTGCTGGAAGTACTTTCTGTATGTTGTAAGTTATTGGTTGTATGAGTTTAAAACATGCATGCTTGTCCGGTTGAACGCTAAAACGACTGAACCGACAAGACTGACATTTTACTCAAAGGTAGGTCATGTACTCTATGCCTATTTGTACGTTACAGAAATTTACTTGGTTTGCGTTCCGTGGAAAAGTTTCGATTTTAGAGGTTTTAGAATCCAATGCTAATCGGTCTAGTGAAAGAAAAAAACAGCTTTCTGTGTGCAACACTTAAGTATTTCTTGTTCAATGTGTTATGACATTGTTTTACAGAAGTTTGAAAAAAAAACTATTGACAAGAAACTAACTTCATACAATTGATGTAAAAATATAGAAAAACACAATATTTACTTCGTGTGAATGTCTACAAAGCTGTTAATGTTATTGTGATACATAGCTGACTGAGCCAGACCAATAGAAATTTTATTAAACTAGTAGAGCTACTGTAAGTAATAGGGTAATAGATATGGATAGATAGATATTTGATTTTCTCTTTAATCCCAAAAATACTATTATATTAATATCTATAGCTATATCTACATCATTGGACGTGTAATTTAGCTTGACCATTCGTAATTGTATTCTTCAGAATCCAAAATCAACGACTTTTACTGACTGGGTGGGACACTTTCATGACGAGTATGCTCTTTTTATTTTATTTTTTGTTTTCATCTATGTCCACGCCGCAGGCATTTTTTATAAGAGATGTTGAAGAGAGTACTCAAACTCTTTTTGGGAAAGAGATCAAAACCCATATGTTTTGTAGTTTTGCCGGGAATTGGTCGACCCGCCCGCACCGAGGTCCGTGACGCTAACCTCTATGCTGGCAACTCACGCCACTTGTTTCCATTGTTAGTGTGGCCTATAAAGGATACGCAATATTCTACGAATATCGAGGTTCGGTGTTTCTGCTCTGGTGTAGCAACTTTCATTTAAGTATACAGAATTGATTCACCAGGAACTTTCAAGCCAGTTTCCTTTCCTGTCTCCCCCAATGACTCTGACGACCTGTCAGTTCTCTCCGTGGCTCGCTGGCGAGGTCGAGGTTAGGGCTCTGCCCTGCCTGAGGCTGATGCGTGGTCGTCGTGGAGGCGCTGATTCATCACGTGAGATATTTGCCATTGTTGATGTCCACGCCTACACCTCGGACAGGCCGCTCCTCCCAGTGTCGCACGTGTCCTCTGAATATGTTTTATTTTCAAGATTTACCCATTGAAATCGAAGGTGCATCATGCAATTGCTAATTTTTTCCTGTTTCTGTTAATCTCTTCAAGTTTCATTATATTTCGCGACTTATAATCCGACCAATTCAGGTGGAAAGGGATTCAGAACAAAAATTAGTGCAAAAAATATAAGAAAAATAAGTTGGAAAAAACTACCGCAGAAAAAGCTGCAATCTTTAGTCTACCATTGTTATGAAGATTATTGTTATGAAGATTGTTATGTTGATGAAGTTATGCATAAGTCTCTTAATCTATATAATTAATACGTTACACGAAAGTTTGTCGGTTGAACTCCTCCGCCATTTCTTAACCGATTTTATCCATTGACGTCTCATTGGAAAGAGCGTGTCGCGTAGATTTGCAAACTGACCTTACATTTTTGAAAAAGTCCCTTGGGCTCTGCCCCAGTGGCTTTAAAAGTTCCCATGTTATCCTTATGAAGAACATAATTGTTTACATTTTGATCAGCTGTATAATTTTATTGCTGTTATTTACTTTTCAATTCAATGAAACACATTGAGTACATTTATTTACTATTTGAGTTTGTGTAAACATAACCCCCAAGATGGATCGTGTTAGTATGGTTGTATCTTAATTTTGTGTATTTATCGTTGTTTTGTGTCGCTATGATGGATTGTGTTAGCATGATTGTAACTTAAATTTGTGCATTTATCGTTGCTTTGTGTAGCTATAATTTGTTTATTATTTGTTGTTTATTTCTTTTAAATGTCTCCGACGCAACGACAACGAAACATAGACAGGAGGCGCAATCGTGATAACGACCGCAACTACAGAACAGTGGCGCGTAATAGGCTTAACCATAGCCATCTCTAACTCATCAGCTTAACGCTTAACAGTCTGAACATGAACCTGGACAACTTCAACTATTTGGTTACAAATGCGCCCTTACACTACCCCAAAACGACTTTTCGTTCTCAATTGGCCCTCTATTAATGACCTGTGTTGCCTGTACAGCGAGGCATTTTGAGAAGGAGAGAACCGTCCGGAATGCTTTAGGTTTATCAATAACGAAGATAAACAGGGTCTGAGTTACACAACGGTAATATTTGAGTTGACTCTTTTAAATTCATTGTAAATATGACTGTTATTCAATCTGAAATAACTCCTGTAATACTTTGTAATTGCTCGAATTCGAGCAACATGTACACTAGTTTAAATAGTTGTTTCACAGTTTTATTCCTTTGAACATACACAACCGTTTACAACATGAACACAACACAGCCTACTACTGTATTAGCCTACAGTGTGCATCTCTATCATATAATGCAAAATTTCCTTCACAATTGGTTAATGCAAGTGGATGTTGGTTTTTGACATTGAAAATAGAACTTAAATGGAGCAGAAGAAAGATTGACTTGTATCCATCAAACTGCTCTCTAGAACATGTTCAAGAGGTGGTTGGTCGAAGTCAGTAGGTCCCCCTCCAACCCTGGTTTAAATCAGAGAGTTATTCTCTAGGCAGCTTTCTTAAATAATCTTCCTAGTTCCTCTTTTTATATTCCCTCCTCCAACTAATTTGGGCACTTTATTTTTACCCAACAACCGTCAATAGAATAATCGGGATTCAGAGGTAGTGTAATTTGAATGAATTCTACCAAATAGTACAATATACATATTTTTTAGAATCTTTACAGTTATTTGATCTTTTTCAGATACCCAGACTCAAGACTGGCCAAACTCTTTAACGGAAGCATCCCCATCGTCCTGGACTCGCTAAAACAACACTACTTCATTGATAGAGACGGCGGAATGTTCAGGCACATCCTTAACTTCATGCGCAACTCTAGACTTCTTATTCCTGAGAACTTTGCTGACATAGACCTACTCTTGGAAGAGGCCAAGTACTTCGATATTGCCCGTAAGTTTAGACATGTAGAATTCCATAAGTGTGGTCTACTTATTTGATAGTAAAATGATGTGTGGATTTCTGTTCGGGTCTCCTTAAAAACAGGGAATTAAACTCGTCACTCTAGTGTCCAAAAATATTATTGTACTACCTACTAACAATATCTGCTTGGCAACATACCTAAAATTATCTCAATAACCTTTATTTGTCAACATTTTTGAGCTTATTTATATCCGTTCTGTGGACAATTAAGATGAGGTGGATCCTGGATTAGCTAGGATTGCCCTTTTTCATCCTCTTGTCTGATCAAATCGGTCGAAAATAGAAAACTGAGTTTATAACGATTTGTTTTTGGACGAGGGAAAGATTCCACTCATGTTCAAGGAACAAAAATATCTAAGCAACTATTTATGTAAAGCATTCTCACGAACCTTCTATACTAACATCCTCAAAACCTTTTGATTCATGCTACATCCTCAGAAACAATCATTTGAACCAATGAAACACAATAAAGTACAACATATTTTTTCACCTAATTTTTACCTGTTCTCTTGTTATTGCAGCGATGTGCAGACAGCTAGAACAGTTGAAGAAAGATAGGCTGAAGAGCCCGAAGACATGCACGACTCCTCAGGGAAACGGAGAGGAGAGAGGGAGTGAGCGAGGGTTTGGGGTGACCAGAGGAGAGGGTGGCAGTTATGAATGTGTAGCACTCCATGTCAGTCCAGACCTGGGGGAGAGAATCATGTTGAGCGGGGAGCGAGGGCTACTGGATGAGGTACATTCATATTTTCTAGTAAAGTTAAGCTCAATTATCAATTAAGTGCAGATGCAAACATTAAGGTTTGATTTGTCATCTTTTGTCTTCAACTGGTAACTTTTATAGAGAAATTACATTTGAAATAACCTTACCCATATCCAAAGTAATCATAATGCATACACAAAGATGAAGAAAATCTTGTAACAAATTTCATAAAATAAAAAGCTTAAACCTCTTTATATACTTAAAACAATTAGCGTTTCTCTTATCATCCATTTTTTAGCTGTCCTACTTAACAGTGTGTGCACTTGCGAATGTTATTGAAAAAAATAATTTCCATAAGAGTTATGCCCCCCTTGCGTTTCAATTATTATTTCTAGAGGCTACATTCAAAGATCCAGTTTTGCTGACAATCTTTCTTTATAACGGGTTAATATTAATTGTAATCTAACAGCTGATCATTCAATTGAATGTTTAACCAGGGTCAGATTGTAAACAAGAGACTGTTTATAAAAATGAATTTTAAATAAATTTTTAAATTTTACGTTTTTGATAATTGTAACCTGATTGATGTATGTAATTCACTATTCAGTTTTTATGGTATAGATCTAGATCTTTCAAAAGTTCAAGGCTATTGAATTATTATTTTTACCTTGGAATTAAGCTTTGAACACTTCGTATCTAAAACCATTAACTGTCTTTTTTCAGGTGTTTCCCGAGTCCAACCAAGCGTTGCTGGATTCCCGATCCAGTGTTGCGTGGAACCAAGTCGACACCCGGCACGTCATACGATTCCCCCTCAACGGCTACTGCAAGCTGAACAGCGTCCAAGCCATCACGAGGCTGCTGAACGCAGGGTTCAAGGTGGCAGCGAGCAATGGAGGCGGCGTGGAGGGTCAACAGTTCTCCGAGTATCTGTTTGTCCGGAAGGTGTGATCTTTGACACACCCTGTATATACTGTGTGCAGCCTCAGAACCTAAAGGTCAGAGATGACCAGAGCCCAGAGGTTCCTGTGGGGTCAAAACTAAAGTAGGAAGTTCCTGCTAGTGGATTTGCAAATGCGTTTCAGGGTTTTTAAGGCTTGAATAAAAATAACTCATTTAAATTCTTGGGTGAAATGATAATTACAAGATCACTCTTGTAAAGCAATATGCTAGTTTTGATAAATTTTGAAATCAAGGTCTGTCTAGAAGACTTGGTGCAAACCTATAAATATAGAAAAATTAGCTTTAAAAATACAGTAGAACCTCCCCCCCCCTCCTATTATTCAACTCTATCAATCTTTAAGTTTTCATAGTTGTTTATATATTACTCATTAATTGTACCTTTCAACTGTTTGGACTGTAAACATACCAATTTTTCTTACTAGGAATAATTTTACTACTTTAAGAACAATTGTGTTTTTGCTCCTCTGTTTTTTATCTATGCTCTTTTAACTATTTATTATATATTTGTGTCTGATCAAGGTTTGATTCTGCTTGCTATTGAGGGATTCTACTGTTATATGTATGGTTCTCTAATATGAACTTAATTTGAAACTTTAGATCGATTAAAAGTTTTGACCAACACAATACTAAATGTTCATGTCAGAATTATAGTGCTCGTAAGGTTTACCCTCATGTATATACAAAATCACCATCAAGATTTTGTTATTACAAGCCATTGTTAACTTTTATAAAATGTGAATATTTAAGTTAAAACTAGTGTAATTAATACTTAATTTTAGTTTATGTACAGTTCGGAACTTTATTTCTAAGTGTGCAATTTGTTTTGTATTATATACTAAAATTATTTTACTTAAAATCAGCTTTAACTTATTGTACTCTTATTAAAACCTCAGGGTTTTGTAAAAGAAGGTTTTGCTGAGTTAAAAAGACAATTATTGGACTTACTTTGGATAACTTGGGTTGTACTTTGATAAAATATAAAGCTAATAGTGTTTAAAGAGGAAATTGTATTTTACAAGGCAGTAACATGTAGTACTGTATCACTTTTTTTGGATTTTAATTTTTTGAATTGTAGGTATTGAATGGAAATATGCATACAATTTATTCCCTTGACAAACTATTGCAGATTATTATAGGACTCTAAAATCACAAGAATAAAAATCTGAATTTTGAGACTAAATTACAAAATACAAATTCGTTTACCAGGGAAATGTTCTTAAAAACATTGGCATGTTGTTATAATTGACAACTTAATTCTAATAATGAACATTTAGTTACTCATAACTTGATCTAAATTGTTGTTATGTAGTTATGTAGGGTGCACCCTCAGTTGATAGTTGAAATCATTATTTTTAATTCAGTTGAAGCATCTTTAAAACTATTTTTTGAATATTTCAAAACCAATTTTATAGTACAAAATGAGAACATATTTTCTAAAACATTTCGTGTTTTAAATGCCAAAAACACTAAAATCTATGTTCCTTAATTAATGCCTTCTTAAGTCTATGTTGCTATGAAATACCTTTTATAATAATTTAATTTTGTATTTCGAGCTGAGATACACTATTCTAAGCAGCCTATTTCTGATCTGGTTCTTGATTCAGTTCGTCCAAACAAAAACTGTAAATAAATAAGTGTTCAGTGTTTAAACTAGTACATAAAACTGTTGTAAATACAATGTACATTAGTAAATTAAATACCTAGTGAATCTATAATTTGTTACATTAGCAACTACTTAATTATGAAATGTATTTAACACTGTTGATCATTTTGAAGTTTAGTTGATAGTTTTTATTTCTGTTGTTTGTGTAGTTTTGATCATTCCCGAATCAAATTTTGTCTGTATACAGTTGACTTAGTCTTATACAGTGTTTAGTTCCTGTGATGTGTACAATTTGTACTAAATTGTAATTCTAGTTCGATCCCGCATGTAATGTATAAAACATTGTAAGTTTCCTTGTTTTTTAAATTTACATGATTAAAACTATTGTTAGTTTTGATACAAAGTTCAATGATTTTTACAACCTTTTCCTCCTGAAAGTAGTCGATATACTGGTAAAAAGAGACACAAAACTGAATATGATGGTTTTGAAATACCCCTTATAGCGAATTTCCCTATAGGGAAGTAGCTATTACCGTAGGTCTCATGGTAAGACCTAAGCCCGGGACCGATTTACTTTTTCATTTTGATATATCTAATATATAAAATTCTCGTGTCACAGTGTTTGTCTGCAAACTCCTCCGGAACGACTTCACCGATCGTTATGAAATTTGGTGTGTAAATTCTGTAGGTATGCGAATCGGACGTAAACTATTTCCCGTTTCGAAATTCTTAAAAGGGCTCCACCCCAGTGGCTGTGGAGTTTCCCATGTAAACCTTATGAGAAATGGAATTAATGAATCTTAACAGCTGTTTCAATTAAACAAGTTGGTTCTGTTCTATGATGTTCAATAGCATTAAAGTTACAAGGATTACCAACAGGGTGCAGCACTATTATTTCTTTTACATTTATGACAACAGCTAATTTGCAACCAAAAGGTGAGTGAGCGTAGCGAACGAACTTCAACCTGGAGGCGAGTTAGCGTAGCGAACGAGCTAACCTGAAGGCAAGTGAGCGCAGCGAACGAGCTCCAACCTAAAGGTGAGTGAGCGTAGCGAACGAGCTCCAACCCAAAGGTGAGTGAGCGTAGCGAACGAACTTCAACCTGGAGGCGAGTTAGCGTAGCGAACGAGCTAACCTGAAGGCAAGTGAGCGCAGCGAACGAGCTCCAACCTAAAGGTGAGTGAGCGTAGCGAATGAGCTCCAACCCAAAGGTGAGTGAGCGTAGCGAACGAACTTCAACCAGGACGTGATTGAGCGATGCGAACGAGATCATCTTGAAAATTAAACGTAACGGTACTTTCTTTCCATCGGTCTGTCTTAGGAGAAACCTATAACTTAGGCGATACGAAGTTCGCCGGGTCAGCTAGTATATATATATATATGTGTGTGTCCATCCGCACGATAGCTTGAGTAATATTTGTCCGATTTTGATAAAATTTGGTTTGAAGGTGTAAGGCGGGATAAACTTGAATGAGTTCGCGAACCAGCATGATCGGACTATGGGAACGGGGGTTTATGGGGGGTTTTATGGGGTAAAAATAGGTTTTTCCCATTTTTGTCCCTAAAAACACGAAATTTCACAATTTATTTTTAAACCATTTTGTAGAGCTTAAAAAAACAAATAATTTAGTATATTGAAGCGTTATTATGCGCCTAATTGTTACGGAGAAAATTCAAAAAAAAATTAATTTTGAAATTCCCATGTTATTCTTATGGAGAATAAGTCAACTGTTGTAGTTTGCTTGTTTATGATCATATTTTGATCAAATTTGGGAAATACATTCATTTCATACTAAACTATTAACATTTTACAAAAAACACTTTTTTACCCTCCCTGTTGCAGCAAACCTAAGTACTCGTTACACTACTTAATGTTACCTTAAATAGGGAATAAATGTGATATTTTTAAGGAGACATATTTGAGTGTAAATGGAAATTCGCTTAGTCAGCAGGTTTGCTGCGGCGGGGGTATTTGTTAAGTAGCTTTGTTAATTTTTTAAAGGTTTACTTTAAAAAATTCTTCTCTATTTCACAGAATTGCGAATTAAAATTTACTTCCCTATAATTTCCCATCCTTTTAATCAACTGACGACAATTTTAATGATTTCCAGTAACCTACCTAATTATTTACTACTAGACGTCTCGACCAAATTACTATTTAAAGAAGTACATACTTATGTCTTTCACCCTAAGCTGTAAATAAAAGATGTGACTGAAATGAAATTTCTTCCATTTGTTTTGATTTTCTGTTTATATTTCGTTGTTATTTCGTCACCAGCATAGCTCCCCTTAAAAGGCCAATGTAAATATATTTGTAGTATAATTTAGCCAATGTAGAATAATTAATTTACTCTTGATTTAATGTTTGATTTGGTTGCCACTTATTTATTCTTAGTATGTTTATACACCTTTGGCTTTGGAATTAATTGGTGAAACATATTATATTTGTGTATTAAATAAAAACATTGGATTCCTTTATTTTGGATTGTTGGAACTGTTTATTGAACAACTTCATTAAAGTAAAAAAGTCTTTGTATTTGTAATTTGTATTTGTAACAACCTACCGTTTTCCTTTCCAACCATTGTACTGCCAAACTAGTTTCAAAACGAAAAATATTCTTCAAATTTGTCTCAAGATTTTGAGCATGAAACATTTTTTTTTTATATTTACACTTTAAATATGTCAATAAAACGAAAAAAGGCTTGAATACGAAGAGGAAAGTTACACGAAAAACACAAAACAACCAGAGGGAAATTTAGTTTAATTACTGTACTTATGAAAGAAGAGGCAAGTATCAATTTCACAGTCAAAGGTGCGGCAACTAGACTCCTGCTGGTAATTAAAAGTTGCTAACAATCTCGAGTTACCAACTCTTTGATCTTCCACTTCTTCCCCTGACACCTGTCTTCTTTGTGCTTTGTCTTAACAGAAAATACTTTTGGGTTTAGAGACCTGTGAAAGGATCTATGAGAGTCTTGTTAAGAATGATTTACTTACATGATAAACAGGATGGATGACCTTTGGATGAGTCCTTATTTCTATTTTTCGTTTTTAATTTTATGAGATATCAACTTGGTTCATCACCACAAATTGTTGGTCAGCAAAATGTGGATCATTGGGCAGTTTAATATTTAATATTCTGTATTGGAATCAAACAAGGACAAGGTCATGATTTACCAAGTTATCTTAAATTAGATTTTTAACGCTTAAGTTGAACTGTAATTGCTTAGTTGTTTTTTACTCAACTTTCCTTGCGAAATGACTATCATTGCTATTTCATAAACCATTCAGTAAAAATTTACCCTTAAAATACCCACACTATACTGTTTTAACGAACTTCCCACGCAAGAATTTAGTCCAGAAAACAGCTGTTTGCCACCAGCTTAATTAAATGGCCGGGTTTCATTACATATACTACTGTACTGTAATGAGTTATTACTGGACACCAATCAGCTGATTATTTGGCAATGAGAGGTTATAAGCATAAACATAGCCTGTCTTAAACGTTAGAGTAGTGATTGTTAGTCCTTTAGTTGGTGGGAATATAAAGGGATTTGTACAGACTTTTAATGTTAAGTTAGCTTAGAGTGGTATGGTGTAGAATATCGTACGTCACTCGTCCAAAATGTACGGTATTTACCGGAATCGTAATCCCGCACTCGCACTTAGCATTTTTTACTTACTATACCTACGACAGTTTGTAAAGTAGCCGTTTCAGTTCAGTTCTTAGAATTAAAAAGTTTCAAGCAGCATTGTGGACTTACATGACAGCATAGTTTTGTAGACAAAACAACACGGGTAACGGACAAATGAGGTTCAAGGATTGAGAGAGAAGAAGTAAAACTTTAATGCTTGGAACTTAAACTAATCAGCAGTTTACCAATTTAATTGCTAACGGTTGGTACAATAGGTCGTTGCATGCATCAATGCCAGTGACAATGAGAGGTTATAAAAGAAAACATAACCTCTCTTAGAAGTTTTGAGTAGTGATTATTAGTAAATAAAAACCGGTCGTAGGGAAAGTAGTGTACGCAACCCGCGTAAAAAGCCCTATTTATCTCACTCGTACGTTTCTAAGGCACTCGCCAAGGCTCGTACCATTGACTTTTATAAAGTCAATGCTCGTACCTTACATTTTCTACTCGTGTCGATTTACGCGATCGTTGCGTAAACTACTATAATACGTTACTATCACAAAGATCCTAATAAAAGATTATGCATAATATGTATAATATAAGATATTATCATTTACTATTGGATACAGAAGCTGTTGTATTAATAGTCAAAGATATTGTCTTAAGAAGGAAAATTAAAATTTCTATTAAATGTTCGTTTATTGGAAAGCATATCATAAGAAAACAAATTAACTGATGAATTTAATCAAGAACAACATTTAATAAGACAATACATTATTGAGATTAAAGTTATCTTTCAAACTTGTTAAGTATAACATTTATTTGATTGTCAAGATCTTTCATGGATCTTAAAACTTCGCTTTCTAATTTCCCAACTACGGCGGATTTATTCCGGCCTGGAGTTTTCCTCCCAGGGGACGTTTTGGACCCAGCATTCCTATCTTTGAAGCCAACAAAAGGTCTAGTGGGAGTATAAGAACGACCAGGAGAAATTTTCTGTTGACTTGAAGAGCCTCCTTTATGTGATCCCAAATTGGGCGAAGAGCCTCTACTTTGGGGTCTTGAGGAGGAAGGAGAAACTCCTCTTGCTGTTCTTGATGCTTGAAGATGAATTGAGTCACTACTTGAAGATGAGATGGGAGAAGAGTAATCAGTTTTTACTTTTGATCCTGCAGAAGACGGTCTTTTGTCTCTCGTTGACGGTCTCCCAAGGTAAGCTGGTCGTGTTTGATGAAGTTGAGGGGTTGATGTAGCAATAGGCGCATCTCGAATGTTATCACTGTTGAGAGTACCAAAAAAGGATGATGGGGGATTTGACAAGTTGTTTGTCATGGGAGCAGTCTGTCCTTTGAATTGATATTGCGGCTCGTAAGAATTCTGTGGAAATTCTATCTCAATTTCTTGATTTGGAGGAGGTTTGGGCTGAAATTGTTCTCGTCTACGATATTTCTTAGAAGGCCTTGAATGAGCAACGGCAACAGCACTAGCATTGCCTTCTGCAACAACAGCATTAGCTGTAGCATTGCCTTCTTCAAAAACGTTTATATTTACATCTACACTCCCCGCAGATGAAGATTCCGTCAGTGTTCCTGTGGGTGGTTGTTGAGACCCAGGTTGCTGCAGAAGGAACTCTGGTTGATTGGGAGCCTGTGGTTGTCCAAAGGGAACGTTTTGACTTTGTCCTGTCACATGTGTGGGCTTTGGATAATCAACGTCAACAGTATGCCATTCATTATTCCTGTCTGGGGGAT